TTGAGGAATGGTCAAGGTTAGTGTTAGATCTAGGAGGATTGATTTAGGATTAGGACTAAGAGAATGGGGTGAAAGTTTGGACACGGGACTAGGCGCCCGCTGGAATTTAGCGCAAGGGCACTCGCAGTACGGGTTATTGATAACTCTGTCCAATTGATTTTTATTGTGGCTCTGACATAATACACAGTGATGAGATGCGGATAAACCCAATTTCTATTCGTTCTGAAACTGGACAGTAGCGAGAGACTTAATCAAAGAAATACGACTCCGACTATGTCCGTCGTGTGCTCCATAGCGTGTGGGTGCAGAGACGGCGACTTACGCATGGATTCATTTAAAGCGATCGCAGACTAGCTTTGCATCTGTCGCGCTCTCTCTCCCCTCATCCGTCTGCGTCCGGTGTCAAGACAGAGCCAAGAAGACCACAGGCGGGATCGGACGCAGGCGACTGGAACCGTCCGACGGAGTGAGAGTGCCATAAGGGTGCAAGTGGGTGGTACGACCTTCGTTTACACCTACGCATGCCACCAACGTCCCCCATGTTCGGCATTTGCTATAGGAGCGCAACCTGAATAACTCTTGTCGTGCCCTGATCTGGCGTTCGTGTTGGTCCAGTGCATCTGCCAAGCAATCCATGGCGTGTGGTGCCCCTACGCTCCCAAAGTGGTGTATAGGCGCTAAATCAGGAGGCCAACTGTCTAAAGTGCGTTCTTATAATATCTGTTTTCTAGCTGGCCGATTTCTGGGCATCTTGCTGGAAGGTTGATATGACTACTATTATTGATGTTAAGTTCAGTGAAGCAAACTGTCATACTTTTTGTTAACGTAGGTTTCCTAGGTTGAGAGCTTAGCTAGTATGGCATATCGGTACAAATTGAAAGCAGTGCGAGGAATGTGTAAAAAATCATCATTGAGAGATGTAAGCACTCACAGGGTGGATTCTGAACTTTTATGACATCCGTAGGCTCGCTGGGTTCGCCCTCGCCGGCCAGGTTGAAGGGTACAATGCGGAATTGGAATTCCTTGTCCTTGGGAAGACCACGAACGGTATACGAGGTGCCCGTCACTGGAGCCGTACTGGCTCTGTTGAGGCAAAATTATCGTGCACATTAAAGTTAGATGGGTGGGTGGATGGGTGGATGGACTACATTAAGCTTATTTTCAAACAGTTTTGGTGCAAAAAACTGCAACGTTCTTAAGTAACAGTTGAAAGAAAATATACTTGGTCCATTCTCGTTCGCCCTTTGGCCGTTTCTCGACGATGTAGCCACTAACCGGACCCTTCCGTGGTGGCATCCACGAGAGCGACACAGAACTTTCAGTGGTATCGTCCACGTTTGGCTTGTCCATTCCCGAAGGAGGATCTGCAAGGGGAAGGGGGGCAAAAATCGCATGAGTTGCGACCTAAGTTGCATTTCCTGTTCATAGCTATCCACCAGACATTAACGCCGAGGCACTTTTATGTGTATAAGTAACAAACAGCAATGATCAGCACGGAGAATGCACTTACCAAACGGATGTTTCGCCTTAATTGCCTTCTCCGTCGTCAGGGGTTCGCTGACACCCATTACATTCTCTGCCATGACACGAAACTCATAGTCCTTGCCAACTTCTAGACCCCGTACTGTTGCAGTTGGTGTCTTCAAGAAGGCGCTCACCTTTTGCCACCTATAAAAGAGAGGATATGTAATTCACTGTTACCAATGCAGAATTCGAAAAAATGTAATTTTAGCCTAGCTGGCTACTAGAAGTGTCATGGGGAAGTCGCAGATATGGCATTAACGAAAATCAGCCGCAGTCAGCTCTTACTCTGTACTGACCAGACAAAACTTGGAAACCACGTGCGTATATTGACGTCTCTTCCGTCACCGGTAACAAAGGACTTAGGATTTGTGTTTTGAATAGCTGAACCGGTCAAAATACCGGATTTTGTCACAATTATGCTTCAAACTCGCGTTCATTACGAGTGAAAGCCTCCTCTTGTTCTTGATGAACTTGTTGTAGCCGTGTACTCCGATCTCACCCAGGATTCACTAACCCTGGCTTGTTTCGTCTGGCAACTTTGTGGACTCTTCCCCAGGTCCACGTCTTGACAGTTTTTTTCGATCGGGATGTAAATTAGTACATGGCTGTACTCAATCCACTGAGCCAACGGGTCCACATCTTGCCAGTTTTTTCGATCGGGATGTATATTAGTAAATGGGTGTACTCTGATCTCGCCCAAATTCACTAACCCTGGCTTGTTTCGTCTGGCGAATTTGTGGACTCTTCCACTTTTGTACTCAACGAAACAATTATGTTACTCGCCAACTTTGAGTCCAGAAATACGCGTATCTCAGAGTCCTAACGTTTGCCAGTAATAAAAAAAAATTGTTGTATCCTGTTCGCAACAAAATTACACTTAGCGATAGATTTCAGCGGTTTCTGGGCGACCTTCTTGTAGCGATACTAGTGGTGTTAGTTTGTGAGAAGCTATGGAGAATTGGCTGCGCAAAAGCCTTCCCTGTTGTGTGGGTTCGACTCCCACAATTGGGTCAAGTGAATTTAAATAAGCTGTTTGAGAACCTAAATTGCATTGCTACCGGTACTTCATACGCAGGAAGTGCGGTATTTGTGG